GGGGGGAAGGGGGGGAGGAGGAGGGAGGGGGTTATGGACTTACTTATTTGAACAGATCGTAGGTAGAGCGCCTCAGCCTTTTTATACTCGCGCATGTGGTAATTGTAGAGATTGGCCAAAAGCGCAATGCTGATACCCACCTCATAATCATTTGGTCCCAAAAAGCGCTCTTTGATCGAAATCGCCTTCAGATACAATGGTTTCGCCAGCTGTGGGAAAAGAATGGAAAGGAAGAGGTGAAATCATTATGAAAGTGAAGAAATTTCGCCTCCAATTGAGACTTCAAATCACGCCTAATTAAAGTGCAACTCCACTGATAATCAGATGCCTCTACAGGACAAGAGGTGGAACCTCTAAGAATCCTTATCGTTAGTCTTCATAGCTTTCACGCAAGTGATTGGTGTGAAAGACGATGTGATCTCGAAGACTCAAACGCTAATAGGAAATCCAACCCCACGCATACTATAACACCACACACAAAGTCAAGGTGCCATGTGCAGACAATTTAACCACTGATGGACTTCTTTCTTGGCTTTTCAAGAGAGGATGACTTCAAAATCGGATCAAAACGTGCCATCGGGACACCCACCATATGAGCATTAAGAAACGTCGTGAAAGGGGGAATAACATTCAGACAGCCTGTCTATTCAAAACACATTAATTGAAACGAGAAGAAGAAGAAGAAGAATGTCATTATTATACACCAGGACAAAATTGATCACTTGGAGAACAAAGTCGTTTAGGAAAGGAACTTGATGGAAAGTGACTACAAGAGAAAGTAAGGCTAGTAACGCAGGTGTTGGATAGAGGGAGGGAGGGGGGGGGGGGGGGGGGGGGGGGGGGGGGTGAGGAGCGGGAAGTCGAGTTGATGGAAAAAATGGGGAGGAAACGGCAAACAACTAAACGATCGGTGGATGAAGGATGTGAATGACGTAGTAAACAAAAATACAAGAAAAGAGGAGTCCCAATAGTTAGATCACCCCTCACGTCATTTTCACCAACAATGGAAAGTGAAATGCCCACAATTACTTAAATTCATTAGACATACTTATGGAACAAGTTAAAATAATGCACACGCACACAAAATGATTTGGTCAAGTGCAACTCACGGTACTGCGCTTCAGAGTCTGAAAGATTCGTCCAAGATTGCGGATATGCTTGGCCGTTAGAACATTCCACACGCCAAATGTCTAGAAAACAATTTTGAGAGTAACAAGAAGCAACGTCATGAATATACCTTTTCACAGATATCGAGGGAGAGTAAGTGCAAATCTTTTGCGATCAAGAGTCTGGAGTCCCTCGTCTGTGGATCCGTTTCGAATGATGCAATCGCCTGCAGAATCAGAGCTAGTCAAAGGAAGAAAAGATTTCCTCAGGAAATGGGATGATAAAAAAACTCGCAAAAGCAACGTTATAAAGCCTTCTTTAATTCCATACCCGCACATTGTGCCCCAGTCGTTTGTGAAGAGGTAACAGGTTCAATGGCAATCGGTGCACACTCAACACGCGGCATTACCTACCACACGAGAAAGGACAAGGGGGCTATTGAGGTGCCGGGGGAATTCCAGTTTCTAATCAGTCGTAGTTGGGAGTCATTTCTACTACGAATAAGGCTGCTTTATTTAAAGGGACACAAACCCCGATGGAGTTGAGTGCACGACCTGCTTAAAAAATTCTTCCAACTCAAAGAGGACTCCTTCAATATGGACTCCACACATGCTGGATGGCTAAATCAAACAGATCTGATCCCATTTCCCTCTTCGATCCCCTTCAAATAAGACAAAGAAGTAGCATCCTCGCGAATATGATTAGAAACTCCAATTCTGCTGTCTCTTCCTTCACTTGAGTCGGCCCAGGATGCGAAATGGACCCATTGATCGCAACCAATTCGTGAGCTGGATCTTGGTAGATTCGCCATTTGACCACTTTGCCAATAAACTGTCACAAACGTGGTACATGCATAAACACCAATATCTAAGCTCTTCTACATTACAGTCTTCGCATCGGTGATCACTCAGTGGAAAGCATGCACAACCGAACTGGTTCAAATATGCCAAGTAAGGAGTGTCGACAAAAATTGTTTAAAAATTAGGGCAAATGGTCAAAAACAATTCCCCCCACAACGAAATTATGGAAGAAATCATAAGGCCAAGGTGACCTATTGCAACAACTGAAATTTGGTTAGACTGTGCACTCCAAATAANATAACAATGTTACTCGCAAGAGATCATGGGTGAAGCAAGATCAACCAGCCCAAACAGTATCAAAAGCAGAGATTCACCAAAAAACGATTATGCTGTCCGTCTGGTGGGATCACAAAGGAATTTTGTATTTTGAACTCATGCCGCAGAACCAAACGATAAATTCAAATGTGTACGTTGAACAACTCGAAAAACTGAAGGATGCAATTGAAGATAAGTGGCCGACATTATCAAATCGGAAGGGCGTTGTTTTCCATCATGATAACGCAAGGCACATCTTTGGTTACTCGGCAAAAATTATTGGAACTGGGTTGGGATGTTTTTTCACACACACCATATAGCCCTGACCTTGCGCCTTCGGATTACCATTTGTTCCCTTCCAAGCAAAACTCTTTAAATGGTAAAATTTTTAACAACGCGGATGATGTCGGATCACGCCTAATTCAGTATTTTAACAGCAAAGACCAGACATTTCACGAACGGGGAATTTTTACTCTGCCAGAACGATGGAAAAAGGTCATCGACAAGAACGGCCAATATCTAATTGAATAAAGTTATATTTTTACACAAAAATTCCGAATTTGCCTTCTTATTTGAAATCTAATAGAAGTAGCCTAATCTTGTGTCCTCGATTGTATGGAAAACAAGATTTGCAACAAAACATTCTGCGAAGAAGCAATACTTGACGAAGATGACAGGGTGGGGGAATGAAAGAACCCAAGTTGAAAGCGACTCAAAGTCTATTAGTAGTATGGCGAAACTTTGGGTTAACTAACAAGAGCTCACATCATTGTAAATAATGGTGTATTT